TCTCGCCCATTCTAAAAAGCTACACATTCAAGGGCTTATGTGATTTCTTGTTGAAGTGATGATGGTTTGCCTTGATACAAATTCAGTGTTGCATTGGGAATTTATAAATCAATCCTTTGCAAGTTGTTCCCTGGTTTCTGGAGTGAATTTGTATATGCATATCTTGCATGTCTAGACTGGTATCACTCAGAACGGTTTGAACATCACCTCTGAAGCTTGTTACAAGCTTATACACTGGACCATACATTCAACACGAAAATTGGTAGAACCATTCATCCTATAATCTACAAGGGATCTGTTTAAAACTGAGTCATTGACTAAACAGGTATTTCTGTGATACCTCTATGATTACTCTCATTTTCTTATTCTGGAAACGCATATATAGTCGTCAACACGCCAGTTCTCTTCAAGGGAAGAACTCTAGCTGACACTCTTGTAATATGGACTGGGTAAATTCCGTTCCTTGGACATCCTTCAGTATGACGCAAGACGCTCGTTCTCGCCTTGAGGCGCAACGCCGCTACTTGACTACATGTATCACTTCTTGCAGGATGTTGCACTATATGACTTAAATGGTCCTTACAACGCCTTGGAATTTTTCTTTGCATTATTTGACCAAACTGGTCTTTAATAAGGTGACTTATCTGGTCACTGACAATTTGTACTACTAGTATTTCTTTGGAGTCCGACTTAACCCTCATCTCTACATTCATCGTCTGATTTGTCTACAGGTTGAGAGGACTGCGAATATTGAATACAATCTCTCCACAGAGGGGACATAGAATTACCTGGTCATCGAGTAGTTTTTTGTTTGTTTGTTGTTTAACGTCCGTCTCGGAAATTTTTCACTCATATGGAGACGCCATGCACCACTTGCTGGTGAAGGAATGCAAATTTAGACCTACAGTACCAACCAGACCCAACCTGACACAAAGCAGTCCCAGAGCAGTCCCGGGGACTGCTTTCTGGGACTGCTTAAGCAGTCCCACAGCGGTCCCAGAGCAGTCCCAAAGCGGTCCCAGAGCAGTCCCACAGCAGTCCCAGAACAGTCCCACAGCAGTCCCAGCGGTCCCAGAAAGCAGTCCAAGCAGTCCCAGCAGTCCCAGTGGGCGGGGTTAATTAATTTAATGGGCGGAGCTTACTCAGAATGAGATTACCAATAAACAATGTAACTATATAAAAGGCAGCTGAAATTGATGAGCAATTCTTTCTGAGTAGTATCAACAAATATTTACAATTCTTACACGACAGTCATTTCTGAACTGTTAAGAAAATCACAGTACGCGTATATAAACAAATTATAATTATTGAATGAAGAAGACGTTCACACCTATTAATAACATGAACATATTTATTTTTTATATAGAAATTAAACTTGAATTGTTTATTTTATACCAGAATTAGCTTTAAATAGATAATTATAATTATAGAGCAAGGCTGATTCCCATACTATACTCTGAATGCATTTTTCTTAAGTATTGGAGCTTTTGATAAATTCTTTGTTAAACATTGCCGAGTATTATATTTAAGTCATGATTATTTTCAATGACTTCCCAATTTTATTATCTTTAGATTCTCAGTTTTAAGTGTTTTATTATATAAATGTTTGAGTGTACATCTGTAAATCACGCAAATGGAACCCTCAGATTATGTTCAAAATTAATTAATCCCGAAATAAATTTATACACAATTATTGAAACTAAGATTTTTTGCAGGACATAGATTGAAATTAGTGTCAATGTTGACCAGCGTGTTCAGTGATGTGTAACACTGATACCCAAATAACATACATTGACTTTCTGTTAATTATGCCGAAAGGCGATTGAAACCTCAGGTGTTGACACCATTTTATACAATCCCATTGTATTAACCGGCCAGGTAAACACAAACAAAAGAAATAAGAAACAAGTCACAATTCCCGATATTTTCAAATGTTTGTTTTTTAAATAAATGTACTCTTTTAATAACTTGTTTATAAATTAAAAACTAATTCATAAATAAATCCCCGAATAATTGTTCACATTGTTTATGTGACAGAAGAATGGTAGAATAATTTTATTTCATGGTCATTAAATAAATTACATGTATTAGGTTTTATTTGAGGGTGGTAAAAAATAGCATGGAGTGCTCTCTTTTAAGCATTGTATTAGCTTTTTCAATGAAGAAAAAAAAATCCAGTACAGTACGTTCCTCTGAATACATGTATCTTACTGAAATGACAAGTTTGTTTGTTTTTTTAAATAGTGCTAATGCAAACTTTGAGTACATATGTAATTTGACAGCATTAATTTATTAAATAGGCCTAGATAATTTTTTTTTTCACACACCTGTATTGAAGTTTAATTTAAGGGATAAAAATCATCCCCTGACTTCCCTTTTTAACTACTTTTATTTTCTAAAATTAATTCTAGACTACAATTGTGTAAATTTACAGCCCTCTGAAGACATTTAGTAATTACATGTATAACTATCTCTATTTATTTGATTTTTGTAAGAAATTAATACTTGTTTTTTTATATTTGTTTTTATCTTAAACACCTCTCTGCAGAAAGTAAACAAAACAACAACAAGGAGCTGCAAATTCAGAATACACAAGGGGCGGGGCTATCACGTCACTTAGAACCTTTTTCACGCATGAGTGAACAAAGCAGTCCCAGAAAGCAGTCCCAGGGACTGCTGGGTCTGCTTTCTAGAGCAGTCCCAGAGCAGTCCCATAGCGGTCCCACAGCGGTCCCAAAGCAGTCCCGGGGACTGCTTTCTGGGACTGCTTTGGTGTCAGGTTGGGCCTGGTTGGTACTGTATACTTGGCACACAGGGCCATTGAGCAATGAGGGATCTTTTTCGAGTCAGCACCTACTGCGACAATGGAACTCGGTTTACACGGTCCCATCCGAAGGACCGGTCTCCACGTCATTGAGTATTAAATTGGGTTCAAGTGGGGGGGGGGGAAGGGTTTAAGTGGTTAATTTATCTCTCTCCACACATATTTTTTACAATTAACTAATCACATGCTGGACTGCTGGGCCTGCTTGTCATTTTGAATTGTCTACGTTTTGATATCATTTACCGCTACCCTCAAATTTCTTTAACGTACCAGAGCGGGAAGTTATGAATTTAATTATCTATATAATTAATCACTCAGTATGTATACAATGACCACAAGTTTAAACTCCTTATATACTAATGTGTGACGATTAACAAGAGAAAAACACAAGTCCATGAACAGTTTCAATAATTATTTTTTGTATAAAAGAGTTAATATATATGTTATAAAACTAGCAAATGAACAGATTGTCTTCTGTTTGTACTTTGAATTTTTAAGTACAAAAAAAGGAGGGGTAATACAATTAATGACTGGCACCCAGGTAGATTATTATTGCACAAAAAATATATATGTAGAACTATGGAAATTCCAGCCAATTTGAGGTCCAACTTATTATGTATTGAGGTACCCAACTGGTTTGTGCATCTAGCACTACGAACTCTCCAATGAATGATTTGGCTTGTTTATATACATGTAGTATATTGGGCGGATCTAGTGAAATACTGATGACATAGTACACAGCCTGATGTCATTATTGATTGATTGATTGATTGTATGTTGTTTTACGTCCCGTTCGAGAAATTTTTTACTCATATAGAGACGTCACCATATACCGGTGAAGGGCTTTAAATTTAGACCTTTACTCGGCACTCAGGCCATAGAACAGTGAGGGATCTTTATCCTGCCAACGCCTACCGAGAAACGGGGCCTCAGTTTTTATGGTCTCATCCGAAAGATCCGCAACTTTCACTTCCAAGTGCCGAGCGCTTGGCGAAGGAACAGTTGCTACCTATTTTTTATCCACTTAGGTCAGTCGCGGCCGTGATTCGAACACACGACTTCTTCTTTTATGTGGATTTAGCAGCACCAGTACGTATTTAGTATTTATAAGTCGAATAAAGACCATCAACTGGTCGCCAAGCGCTTGTAATGTTCGATATATCTTTTGCTTAACATACTCGCCCATTAACTGTATCTATATTTCAAGATCACTCTTCATGCATCATGGGTTTGTAAGGTCATACGCAACAGGCATTATAACTTACCTCACCCATTTATAATTTCTTAAGTTATTATTAATTAAGAATCATAGTATCATCAGATATTCCTCTTCAGAAAAAAAATCAGCATAGTACATTACCAGGAGTTTTGAATGGATATCAAATGATGAAAATCCTTGTATTCCTCAAAGAAAAATATTCAAAAACTATCCACATATAGTTTTAGCTGGTATTTCCTATAAAATTGTTTTGGAAAAGGTGTACAACAATCTATAGTAAAATTTTGTAAGCCTCTATATACTTTAACATTTATAATATTTCCTAAAATCATAGATTTGATTTGATGACGTCATCAAGTGGTTTTAATTATCCATTTATTCATTCGTGCAGAAGAGAAAGATGATCGGATGAGTGTTGGGGACAAGGGTCTTTTATTTAGTATTCATTGTTTTGGGTTTATTCATCATATGTGCTATTGTAATGTTTAATCTGAAAAATGAGATACGAATTCAACTTTTGTGTTTGTAATATCATTTTACAGTTTGTGTTTCCAATAAAAAGGACCGATAAGCAGTGTTATCCTCATGCTCTAACTTGCCTTTTTGGTCACAAAATGCGTAGTTTCTCTGGCTTTCTTTTTATCTGCATTATCAGAGAATATTGACACATGTATTGAATTTTAAACTGTGCTTCAAAACCCTTGAACCATAAATTACGGAATATCCTGTTACGTATTATTTCTTGTTCCAAAAATTTTTACAATAGAAATTTAAATTTCACCTGATGGAAATAACTACCTTGTTTTTGTTTAGATTTTTTGTTTGTTTACAAGCGTGTCTGATACCTTTGTTTAAAACGCAAAGATATGCGCAATTATTTTTTTTTTATTTTAAAAACCCGCATACCAATCATAAAATCAGGCGATGCATAAATCAGAGAGAGAAATTGGCGTATTTTTTTTTAAAATATAACCAGGAACATTTGGCTTATTACTGACACAGTATGTATCAAAATAATTTCACTTAACTTTTATTCATATCAATATCCTCAACAAAATTTTGCAGTGCATTTTGTTTAGTCTTTGAAATGATTTTCAAAAATCAAACTACGTCAATCGGTACAATTGTTTTATTTTTTTAATTTCAAATGAAGGATAACCTTTCACTAAAAAATATCCTTGTGTATGATATCCATTTTCATAAAATTTTATTAAAGTGTACCTAATTTGACGGACATTTTTTATTTCAGAACAAACCAGTTTTTTAATGATAGTTCAGAACTTTTTTTTGAAATTTTAATTGAAATCTATCAAGACGTATTTTCTCGTTTTCTTTGAAATGAGAAATGCTAAAACACCTTTTTGACCACTGGTTCGGGGGTGTCTCTAAGAACGATGCAGAGGTTCATCATTACAGAACCAGTTGTCATCCCTGTTAAAAAATAAGCATTGGATCTAAGGTATGGGATACACGCAATGGTCTCAGGAAGGTCACAGAATATTTCAATTTCGAATTTTCCCATTTTTATGCAAATTTTTAACTTTTTAAAAGCACATTTGGTGTAATAAAACACAGCGCAAAGGCTTGTCTATGATTTCCATTTTTAAGCAATTTTTTTTATCTATTTTAAAGCACATTTGGTGTAATAAAACACAGCGCAAAGAGTTTTTTTATCTACCACATTATATATTTCACGCACGAGTATCAGATGCATTTTATGTTTAAAATTCTCAAATAGGCAACTGTGATCTTGTTTACCGACAAAGTATCTCATTTAGCTCTGGTTTTAAAACAAGCATCAAAGTTCTTAACTGCACACTATCACAATCTTAACTGTGTTTGGATTTTTATATCAAATATAGGGCCAAATTGTTTATTACCATACTTTGTCCATTGTGCAATCTAATAGCCAAACATTCCATTTAACAGTCTAGATTAATATGGGTTCAGCTATGTATATTATATCCCCTATCTAGCTCCATTTCGTATTTTTCTTTCAAACAAGAGTGTGTAAGATTTTACATTAATGGGTTAATTAGCTATATATATAGTGTATACCATATTCCTTAAATTAAAAAAAGTCATACATAGGGGCTATGAAGAATAATATTTCTGCAGGTGGCACATGTAACGTTTTTCTAAGTTTACTGTAAAGGAGATGCTCGATATTTATTTTATTTGAGATAAATGAGCTGGTGCGCGCATTTTAATGCTGGAATTAAATGGGTTTCTTGCTGAACAATTGATTAATGACTTCTTTCAAAAGCATTAAGTTACAGTTGAACAAAATGAGCTTTGTTTGAGTTGTTAAGTTATATCATATGTACTCGTTCGATGCAAAATATTTGTTATAAAAATGCAAATGAATTACGAATTCTCACATTTTTAGAAAGCATAAACTCCATGGACATTGCCATTGAAAATAAACAAAGATGACGAGATCTGCTGTGAACCAAAACCTGTAAGTTACCACTTTAATGGGGGTTTTTTTTTCTCTCACTAGGATAGCTTCTGATTTGGTCAACAAGTTATCCCAAATGTTGAAATCATTTAAATGCTAACTTTAAAGATGAATATTATCGTTTGCACTTAAAACTGTAATCAAAAGATTCAAACATCAATCCTGCTAAAGAAAAAACTGTTCCCACATCCTAGTTTTTGTTAAGAGACGGAACTCATTTTCTAAAGATAAGCATTGCTCATATTGCTAGTTTTCCATCACTTTTCTCATTATTCCTGATATGAAAGCTGTAAGATTCGGAACATCTGTATAAAAAATCTAGCTTACTAGATATAGAAAATGACAGACCTATTAGAATTTCAAGTGTTGTTTCTAAGGTTCTTGAGAAAACTGTTCATTGAAAGATTTTTTAACAGCAAACATCCTGTTCGAGTTTCAGTCTGGTTTATGGGGTTATTTTCTTATGATACATATTTGATGCACTTGTTTGATTTTATAAAAGATAAGACATTTAAAATGTTCTTTATGCAGGCGTGATTTTATTGGTTCTTTGAATGGATTTAATTCGATTTATGAAATTTTTTGCAAAAAACATTAAAGGTACCGGGCTAAAAATCTGAGTGGTTTAAATCGCTTTAACGAATAAAAAAGCGGTTCCTAATTTTTTTTAAATATATAAGAAGAGAAATATCGGATAACATTCTACTCATCTACAATGTCATTTAGATTATGTGCTTGTTCTACATGGTACGCTGGTTTGTCTAAAAGTCTGAAAAAGAAATAAGAATGTCAAAACAAAATGGTTTCGAAATAGCTAAATTCTCCACTACAGTACTGAACTACGTTTTGTAGATGAGATGAGAAGATAAGATAAGTCGATGTAAAGAGATGACAAGGATTTTTTTAATCTATATTTTAGAACAGAAATCAGGATCCAACGCCTTGCGCATGATCAAGTCATAGTATTTGTTTAAAATAGACATCTAAGGGGATAACTCTAACAACAAAATAGCAAGATAATATAACATCTCCCCTTCTTACAAGGAAATCAAAATTAATTTAATATCATATATAATCATCCTGCAGAATTTAATACTGTCAATATGAGAATCATAGTGTCCACGTTTACAATGAACATATCAAAATGCATATACAATTTATAAACACTAATTTTGTAATGCAAATAATAATTATGCTATTTTTGGTTTTCCAAAACCCGGTGAAATATGGTTTGGACCACTCAGGGACCTTGGGTAAAGTACCTTAACAGAGTTTTCATCATGTTGCATATCATTATCAAAATCGGAAAACATCATAACAGCGGAGCGAGCTCCTATGGCTTGGGAGCTTCATTGGTTTTACGAAGAAATCTCCTTTTGCGCCTATACATAGTAACCAGCAGGGATTTTGTAGAGTAAGATCAATCATCATGTGGCTGCATTACTTCCTGACGCCAAGAGCGTCAGGAAGGTTAAGAATTATTTCATCCCTGGTGCTAAACAGTGGTTTGAAAGCTAGCCAGCCAAATTTTTGCAAGTAGATTTACATTGAAATTTGCTTCGGACACGAAAACTTTTTTTTATGCATTTCTATACGAATGGGCCAATCCATTTCAATATGAAAGGGGTGACACAATCAATTGTCACGAGATAATCTTTGCGCATTTTCCTTGAAATGTTCTATCAAATAGGTGTGATGGCTCCACTGAATAAAGAAGTCTGTTCTTGTAACCTGATTCTCGAGCTTTAGAGTGCATGTTTATTACATTTTTTACATACCATGTAACCGCGTGGCTCAGTGGTAGAGCGTCTCCCTAGAGTCGCGGACGTAAGGAGTTATTCCTTGCGTCGCGGGTTCGAATCCCACTGTGGGACGTGGAGACCGGTCCTTCGGATGAGACCGTATAAACCGAGGTCCCGTGTCGCAGTAGATGCTGGCACGAAAAAGATCCCTTACTGCTCAATGGCCCAGAGTGCCGAGTATAGGTCTGAATTTGCAGCTCTCCACCAGCAAGTGGTGACGTCTCCATATGAGTGAAAAACTCGAGAGAAGGACAACAAACAAACATACCATGTCGTATATGTGCAGATAACACTAGCACTGTATTTTTTTTTCAAGTTTTCCTTGTTTTATTATTATCATTATTATCAACATTATTATTATTATTATTATTATTATTATCCTGTTTATACGAAAGGTTACCTAATCCGATTACATGTAGTTACACATTCATGTAGATATCAATTGGTTTTACTCTATTTTAAATCTTAAAGTCATTAAACAATCCTCAATATATTTAAGGCTGGAAATACCACTGTTTAAAAAACTCAGCAAATTCACTGTGGGAGTGAGTAAGTAAATTTTATTTCAGTCGGTATTTTGTACATGATATAGCAATTAGCATGGGCTCTGTAGAGCTCTTCAACCCACTATGTGGACCATCGTCCGAATTTTTTTTTCAGGAATACCGCATCCTGCAGATATTTCATTGTATTGTGAAATAGTAGAACTAACACTATTTGGTATAGTTTATCTGAACACTTCGGAATACCGACTGTAGTAGTCAACAAGCAGAAGATAGTCTTTTTCATCCAAAATGAAAAAAATCTGAAGCAATTGTTTGCCAGGGATATGAAGGAATGTCTTGAGTTTGCAAGGGTTCTTTAGGATTAGAATACGTAAATTCTAAGCAAATATTACATATCAGTATAAGGACTGAAATGACTTTGGTAAGTTCTAGGCAGAAAACTTTATCACGAGCCCTTCTAAGAGTTTTTTTTTCTATACCAGTATGTCCCACACGTAAATCTTATACGGTACCAATTTTCCACTGAGTTCATGTATGGGGAATGACAAATTTAAAACCCTTCATAACGAGCACATTCACTACTGCCAATTCTTCTCGAAAGTTTCATTTTTCCCTAATGGGGTTTGGACAATCTCTGCGCGACTCTGGCCAGCAAAATGTAATGGATTAAGGTTTGAAAATGGGGGTTCTGATTCTGTAAATAATCTGTTCTGGACAACGATCAGACCTATATGTTTTTATTTCACAAATGTACTTGAACTTCAATGCCCTTAGAAAGCTTTTTAATAGTATGAGATTAAAGAATTTAGAAAGAGACGGGGATCTGCTTTCCCTGGAACATGAACAAGCTTAAAATAGCAGAATCATGCGCTGCAAGCAGGCAGGGCAGTAAGTATAGAGTTTGCATAATAGAAACTAAAGGCTTGTGATCTGTTTGAACGCACACCTCACGCCTATATATGTGACGATGGAAATGCTTTCATCCAAACAAAATGGATAACGTTTATTTTCCGATTTTTGCAATGTTAATGCACGATGGGGTAAGTGATTAGAGACATAGGAAACAGACTTCCTTTCTTGTAAGAAGGTAGCTCAAAGACCATATTTGGAGATGTCAACTTGCAAGGATCAAAGTAAGCTTAGACTGGTCTTTGTGACCTTGTAGTTATGTCTTTAACTTAAGCATAATACTCTTCTTAGGGTGGGCTTAAAAAGTTAAACAAAACTTTTGGACAACAGTTGTGGCATGTGGCTCGTTTTATCAGCCAAGTTTATTGTAAATTACCATATCAAGTACTATTTCAAGTTCATCACGATTCATTTCTTACAAGAGGGACCTTTTAAGGTATATTTTGATGCATCTATAGAAAACAAGTGACCAAAGTAAGTATTGGACTTGTGACTGACCAGCGTCAAATTTGTCATCAATAAGCTTGATGCCCATTTCTCTTACGCACTTTAGAGCAGCTCTTAAGTAATAATCATGCTCAGCACGGGTCTCACTGCACACAAGAATATCATCGACTACAGAAACCACACCTATAAGGCGTTCATAACGGAAGTCGATCTTGCACTGAAATTCAATCTGCGCAGATTAGAGACAAAAAGGTAATCTGATGAAGCGATACCTACCATAGGGGGTATTGAATGTAATTAGGTAGATCTTCTTAAACCTGAGCGTGCATCAAGTTTGAGTATATAACATTTTTAAAAATACTCGGATAAATTATTATTGAGAGTTCAAATGAGGTAACGGGGTCGATGAATGACCCCGTTCAAATCTTTGGGGTCAGGACAGACTTACAAAGCTCCAGCAGATGGTCTCTTAATAAGAAACCATGGATTTTACCCAGCGAGTGGGGTATCAAACTCAATGATGGCGTGATATCATCTTCATCCGTCTAACTCATTTTTTCCGTCACCCAAAGGTTGTGGTACCCTTCGACAGAAGATGTGTGTGACCAGCACGTATATAGCATTAGATCTATCTGGATTGTAGATTCCCCTGGAAATAACCCTAACCCTTAACAGACATATTTAAAAGTGTCAATACAATCTTCGTATTTCGCACTCTATCGACAGTAAAGTCTGTTATGTCAGGCTACTGTCATTGAATTCACAAATCTAGCAAGCCAGATTGTCAAGCATGAAGGCAGTCATATAATAGGCGGGGCATGCCTATTGTTAGGGTAAACAACATGAAAATAAGTGTCAAATTCCTTGTCCCCAACACTAATGGCTACTTTGCAAGAACCTACTATTCTAAGGGGTACCCTATTAACCCGACAAATCAGATGATGGACTAATTTAATCAGCAATACCTAATTGCTTTTAGATATTGTTTAAAATAAAATTGTTTAAACAAAACGCTTCCAAATTATTAATAAAGGACACAGCTTTTGACGTCAAAGACAATTCTTTTTCAATAAATATGGAACTCGTAAATTTCTATACCATGTCATCGGCCATCTGCAAATTTGTTTTGTTACAAAAACATTCTGATTCTCCACTTAAGTACTACAAGATTGATATAAAAAAAAAAATGGTCGAGTTTCTCATTGATAATATCTACGTAGTTTTCACAGATTAGGTCTTCCAACAATCTGTTGGAAGTACCATGGATACTAATTGTGTCTCGTTATTAGTAGACCTGATTTTGTATTTATATGGACTAGAATTTATTCAAAAACTCGTACATTATTTCATTTTTTTTATTTAAATTTTTCGGATTTCCAACGTTTCGGCATGAGCATCACTGAAGAGACATAATTTATCGAAATGCGCATCTGGTGCATCAAAATTAGTAACGTACAAGATTTACACATGAAAATAATCTGTTTCTGTGGCATTAAAGTCCACATTTAAAAAATTAGATTATCACTTAACAGTATTCTATTTCAATCCTATGTTGATTCGATATTCCTCATTGAATTCGAAATAAATATACATCTGTTTCTACATTGACGGCAACTAACAACTAAATTATGATAAACGTGATGACGTCAACTTTTCTAACGTTAGCTTCCTTTATTTATTTTGCAATATACCGACATCATATAGAGTTTATGTCTCAGAGTTGATTCGATATGAGAGGGAGCATATTCTACATATAGACAATTTCTAAAACAGTGCAAGATTTTGACAATTACTGTGAAATCATTAATTTTCGTAGGGGGTTAATTTTCGCTGTTTTCTAGGTATATATGAAGAGACACATTGATTCATATTAACCACAAAATGTAAAATTTCATATATAGGACTACTATACACGTCGTCAACCACGAAATTAATCCCTATGAACCAACATTTTTCCTCCAACGAAAATTTGACCTACAAAAATCTGATTTTACAGCAGGTTGATGATACAAGAACATAAACAAAAAATATCGTTTTAAGTTAATATTTAACAAATTCTATGGTCGATGCGATGATCTTATTTGCAAATACAATATGTCGTTAAGTCGTATTTTGACTGACGTTTTCCATATAAATTGTAAATCGATTTGTCCGTGGATTTTCAAACATTCAACTTTTCGATTTTTATTTCAAAATTAAAAAAAAAGATTCATCAGTCAGAAGACAGAATGTTGTCCTCTATTGTCGTAAATAAATTGTTAATTGTGCTGTTACTTAGATCCAATTTCTCCAATGATAAGCCTCCGAGTTCGATCAGGCTACCCATAGTGAAAGAATTCAAAACTGAAAGACTCTATTTTAAACAGTGAAAGGCGATTGGATACGTCGCTAGCGAGGCGCATTGGTTTGAGCGTTTTCTCTAAGTCGCAAAATACGATGTTGATCCGTATACGCGGATTGGAATCCAATTGCGGGACAAAGAGACCGGTTGTTCCGATGTAACCGTATAAACCAATGCTCCGTGTACCAGTAGCCCTAATAAAAAGTATTATAGTTATATATAGTTTACTTTAGTATCAAAGTTTTTGTTATAGAAAATCAAAGTTTTAATAAAAGTAAATCAAAGTAAATTTTTATGGATTTCAGATTGCTATATTTCATGTTGTCTAATTCGTACATACACATATTTTATGTTAAATGGAACTACATGTACATGTATTACTGGTATATTTACATGATATCAAAATTTTACATCACTGTAATCGAATTTAAGAAATTGTAGGCATTGAAATCTGAAAAAAGGTAGTTCTAGGTATCAAAAATCAAGGTATCAAATTACATGTATTATCTATAATAGTTAACTATAGTATACTATCGCAATATTTTGTTAGGGAGGTGCTGGCACGTAAAATATCCCTCACTGCTCAAAGGCCCTTAACGCTTCGTGATCGGGAGGTCGTGAGTTCGAATCTCGGCCGCAACTGACCTAAGTCGATAAAAATGGGTAGCAACTGTTCCTTCGCCAAGCGCTCGGCACTTTGAAGTGAAAGTTGCGGGTCCTTTGGATGAGACCTTAAAAACCGAGGCCCCGTTTCACGACAGGCACGATAAAGATCCCTCACTGCTCAATGGCCCTGAGTGCCGAGTAAAGGTCAAAATTTGAAGCCCTTCACCAGTATATGGTGACGTCTCTATATGAGTAAAAAATTCTCGAATAGGACGTAAAACAACATATAATCAATCAACGAAAGGCTCTTAGTGTTGAGTACAGGTCTAAATTTGCAGCCCTCCACCGGCATGTGATGGCGTCTCAATATAAATGAAAAATTTTTGAAGGCGTTAAACAAACAAACAAACAATTGGGTACCATTACTGTAGATAACTGAATCAAATATGACTTACTTGATTGTACTTGGAGGTCAATCGCTGTAGAAAATGGATGTGGCGTGACCAAAAGCAGTTATATTTCAAATTGTCGCCCTAAGGTAGAGTGCAACGGATGTGACATGCCTGTAAAATTCAAGATAATAATCGAAAACTGCATGGAAAATGGTGTAGGGTTAACGATGGCGGCCTAATAATCGGTAGGTTGAATATTGTTTGAAAGATTTATTTGTGACAATAAAGGATAGTATTCAGCCTTTTCGCAGACTAAACAAATTTAATGTATTTTTGAACAATAATCGAAGAATTGAGTGTTCAAAGATAGTGACCAAGGGATTAATTGCGACTTATTAGTTCTCTTCTCCCCTAATATACTACCGATATATATACCAGCTTTTGCCAAGATCATTTTTGTTTTTACCTTTAAGCTCTTGACATAGTTATATAGGTAGAATTTTGTGTGACTAACAGTTGATTACTATGATATGTCTTTTTGAATATAAAATAGGTTACACTCATGCTACTTGCCGTTTTCAAATTAAAATGGCAGTCGTAACTTTTCACAAAATGATAAATAATCTATATTTAATAAAAATAGGCTTTCTCTTGTTCCTATTTATTGGCGGAAGAACTCAGACAACTTGACATAAATACTTACATTTTATCAACAAATAAGATAAAAATACCAATTCTCTGCACTTCCCTTCATTAAAATAACGTATTCTCGCTTCGAATTTTCAAATCAAAAAGGCGCTCGCAACTTTCACTTTGGTATCAATAATCTTGTCATTTCCGGTAGAATATATTATGAAAAAACAAACCGTCAGTAGAAGAACTTTATTCAAAATAGTTTAGAACAAAAAAATCTCAATTTTTTCTCTATATAAATCTTTTTGAAATCTGCCGCCATTATAGCTCCAATATAGACGATATGCAAATAAACAGAATAAACACCATTTCTCCATATGTGAATTGTAAGTTTTTTTTCTTTTTAATAAGCCCTTATAGGCAAAGAAAGACTTAATTTTGCTGGAATACAATAATCATGTTCCTTTACTGGGCAATTATTTTAAATCATTTAAGTTGTCAATTACGGCTAATTCATACTAATGATAATGGCGTGTCTATCCTTTTCAAAATGTATATTACAAAATAAAGTCATTGATGTAATTTTTTTTACTTAGATTTTACTACATTGTTTTGACTTCTGTGATACTGACATGCAAAGGACAGAGTTGGTGGAGGAGTCCTGAAAATGGCCCAACTTGCAAAGCAAATACATGTAGAGAAAATGACAATGATTGCGAGTGTTCACTCACTATAGACCACCGCCTTACTATGATGACTCCTCTTCCAGAGGCCCTTCTTGTCTATGCAGATAATGGAAGTTTGAAATATTATAACAACGGTACTAAATTAGGTGATGAAGATGAAGATAACGTGATAAC